ATAAACAATTACAATATATATTTTTTAAAGCATTCTTACTTTACAGCATTTTTTCACACCTGCCTAAAACTTTTGCATGGTACTGTATACGTGACAAAGTTTGGTGTAGCGGTTAAGGCACCAGGCTAGATAGCAGGAGACTGTGAGTTCTAATTCTGCCTGAGGCATGAAAGTCGGCTGGGCCAGTCAGTCTCTCTCAGCCCAACTCACCTCACAGGATTGTTGTTGTGGGGAAAATAGGAGGAGGAAGGAATATTAGGTATGTTCATCACCTTGAGTTATTTATAAAAATAATAAAGGCGGGATAAAAAAAAATCTAAAAAAGAAAAAAAAAGAAACATCACAAATGGATGTGTAAACAGGCCAAAATTAATTGAATGCTGGGCAAAATTAGAAACTGAGTGAAGCTATATCAATCGTCTAGCTTTAAAAGTATGTTTACCTCTCAATCTAAGTCTTGCCCAAAACATAGATCCTAATATAGGTTCCTCTTACATTTAAATCAAGTACTTGACCCTAAATAATTTAGGACCCATGGTTAATTCAGAAATAATTATTGGAATTGTCTGATTGAGTCTTTCCACTATATACTTCATTCAAATACATAAATATGTGTACAGGTAGTCCTTGTTTAGTGACCACGGTTGGGACTGGCAACTCAGTTGTTAAGCGAAGCAGTCACTAAGTGAAACTGAAGCTGTGCTTATGATCTTACTTCAGCTTTCCTTTGCTCTACAGGCCTGCAAAGGTTGTAAATGTGAGGACTGGTCACAAAGTTGCTTTTTCATCACCGTCGTAACTGCAACAGTTGCTAAATGAGAGAGTCCCTAAATGAGGACTACCTGTAACATTATTCTTCCCCAAAACCCTAACACTAGAGCAAAGGTACCACTTCATATGGTTTACATCAGTCTCTGCTGCAGAGTAGAAGGATTACTTCATCAACAAGGAAACAAGCAACTGTCAACAAAATCCACAAAGAAAGTACATCAATATACCATCATGTGATACTACTGCGACTGGCTCCGTCCTTCTTGCAGGGTATCAATTCCCTGCTCAAAATTTGCAGACTAATGTCCGCTCCCTCCCATTCCAATCGTGCCAGAAATCAAGAACTTAAATCTGCTGGCAAGCCCAGCCATTGGGGCTGAAGAGGGCCTTTCCTGGGAATCCTGGATGACTTCTATTCTTTGCCAATATGAGAAGGAGCGCAAAGTACCCAAACATGATTCCTCCACTCCCAGTAGGCTTACAAGTCTTATGAGCAAGAGCCAACATCTCAGCATCAGGACTTAGATTTTTCACGATGCACAATGCTGGGGCTGCAAGGTAGCACTGTGTTGGGAGAAAGCCAAAGTTAAACTGGTGCTACTGTTGTCATGTATGAACTTTCTTCTGCACCTTCACTTCCATCAATTACATACACAAATCCTAGAATCATAAACTTGAAAGGGGCCTTAGAAGTCATTTTGTTCAACTCCCCGCTTGGCACAGGATCTCAGACCAGATAACCATCCAGTTTGGGCATGAAGACCTCCAGCAAAAGCAGAAATAAAACACTTCATGAGGCAATCTACTCCAATGTTTTTCTATCCTTGTTGAACTATGATGAAATCCTCTGTAATGAATCCTTTCTTTCTTTCTTTCTTTCTTCTTCTGATCCCTCTAGAACTTGGAGCCACCCAAGATTCAGGACAAGCTGAAGGAGACTCTTCTTGGTATTGCATATTGCAAATATGCATCCATGGATGATACAACAGCCATCATCTTGGGCAGCTACAAAAAGAAGCAGGACAAACTTGTTGAAGGTAAGGATATTTAAAGACTACATTCATTATAGCTATTCATTACTTCCAATATCAGATGGAGCAGGAGGGTGCCAATGTTCATACCTTGCTTATGATTTCCGAGGGCCCTCTGATTGGCCAAAGAGCTCCTAGATGAGCTACCTCTTCTTGCGCGGATGGCATACAAAAGAACTTCATGTAACCCCTGATGGGAACGAAGACCCACGTCGCACGCATACGTGGACCCAGGATCATCAGAGTTCTTCCTCTAGGTTTCAGAGAAGGGGCTATCTTGGTCTGTTTCCTAGAATATCTTAGGCCTTAACTCAGCTTTTCTTTGTCTCATGCCTCAAATGACAGGAAACCATGCCTCTGCTTTTTATCAGTTGTGGTGATGGGACCCTGGGAGACCAGATTGCCGTGAAGCCCTAGCAGCTTCCCAAAACACAGAACGCTGCAACTATTCCACACACAGTGGACTACTGTATTAATAATATTTAATACCAACATTAAACTCGATACATCCATAGTCTGGCCAATGCTGAAGCAAAGGAGAGTGAAATTAAACCTAAGAAATCATTTATCTAAGCAAAGTTTCTGCAAAAGGAGCCAGTCTCTGATCATCGTCTCTAATCATCATCGCTCTGCTCTGAAAGGCTACGTGGCACACACCTAATGTTCTGCTCTCCGCTAAGGGAGTCCCCTTACTTCAAATATAAAATGTAACTTCATCCAGATGCTGCAAAGCCATTCCCCTTGTCCTTCACAACTGAGCACACTGGCTGGTTTGAGCTAGGGCGCTGCAATTCAACACCATCTCACCCATTAGTGCTTTGCTAAGTCACCCTAAATCCTGAAGAGATTCTCAAGAGGTGCCAACTACTTAAAGCCTCTTGCAAAGGCAGGGAAAACCATATTAAAGTCCCTTCCTCAGTCCCCAAATTTAAGCAAAGTCTCCGGAGAAGACAGCTTCTCTGGCATTCAGAGTCGTGCAAACAGTAGTGAAGTCTGATTTGTTTTGTCTGCTGCACTGCACACTTCTTAAAAACAGTGGAAGCTAAATATTTATGGAAGGGTGACTGTTTGTTTAATTTCTCCACGGCAGCCCGCAAAAGCTCGGCAGGGAACGGAGCTGAAGTGACAAGCTGAAGTGGCAAGCGTCCACAGCACCCGGCAGGAGATGGGGGAAGGCGGCCCCACCAAGATTATTCTTCTCACATTCATCTTCTCTGCTTTCCTTGCTGCTGAGGAACTCATCCATCCACAGGGAGACTCCACATGCTTTTCTCAAATATAGTCCTGGAAGGGGGTGCGGGAGAAAAACACTCATTTATATCTAACTTTGCACAAGCCTATGGCACTGGGTATTTCTCTCCATCACCACCACCTCTTCCACAGTCCCCAAAAGCTTCTTCTCCATGAAATCACCCCCTTGAATAGACTGTGGTAGGAGAGGAGGAAAACTGCTTGAACAAACCTTGCCCTGCTTATGTCACTCTGCTCCTTTTCTCTCCCTGCAGCCCAGCAAAATGCAGGTCACAGTAGCCCACACAACCGCTCTGCTGTGGGGAAAACCTGTGTGTCAATTAATGCACGGGCAGGGGGTTGCGTGGGCTCTGCTTTCAGCATTTCCTGGAGAGTCATATATAAACACGAGCCTCAGTCAATTCTGTTTACCATGGCTCTTTAAGCTGCAGCTTATCTAATTTGGATGGGTTCCACAGGCAAATAATAATAATTTTGAAAAGTAAGCACCAGCTCACAAGATAATTCTGAGGAAGAAAAAAAAGAGAGAGAAGAAAAGGGACATCCAAAACTAAAGGACTTTCTGTTTTTCTCCTGTCCCATTTGGTTTTGAGAAACCCAAAGACCACCCCCATCCAATGAAGGGAGATAAAAATCTTTCACTACTGATGATGATCATCCAACCAAGGCTGTCATGCTTTTAACAATGATCTTCCTGGCACTGAAGGAGAAGAGCACACCAAGGGGATTACTTCTGGTTCAGCAGCCATGATCTGGCAGCGGTTCACTCACTGTCTTTGCATTACCAGCAGTTAACAGGCGTGTTAACGCTCTGCACCCAGGCATGCTGAACAACCCTGTGTCTTAAATAAGAAACAACATTCTGGAATATGAATGTATGTTTTTATCGATTGGCAAAATTTATTGTTAATTATGCAAGTAAACAAGGAGCTATGTGTGATTTTTTAAGTTTGGGGGAGGGAGGAAAAGGGGAAAAGGAAGGAAGGAAGGAAGGAAGGAAGGAAGGAAGGAAGGAAGGAAGGAAGGAAGGAGGGAAGGAAGGAAGGAAGGAAGGAAGGAAGGAGGGAAGGAAGGAAGGAAGGAAGGAAGGAAGGAGGGAAGGAAGGAAGGAAGGAAGGAAGGAAGGAGGGAAGGAAGGAAGGAAGGAAGGAAGGAAGGAGGGAAGGAAGGAAGGAAGGAAGGAAGGAAGGAGGGAAGGAAGGAAGGAAGGAAGGAAGGAAGGAGGGAAGGAAGGAAGGAAGGAAGGAAGGAAGGAAGGAAGGAAGGAAGGAGACAGAGAGAAGGAGAGAGGTGACCACTCCTGGCCCTTCGTTTTGGCTTTCTATGGTTACTATGAGTATAGGTAGATTAAAGCTTTATTCTGGACAATGTTCAAAGCAGGACTACGTTTACATGAAAGGAAGGGTTGCCTTTTCCTAATTAATCTATCTTTATAATGGAACGAAGTCCTATTATACTGTCTGAGAATATGGCCACAAAGCAAAGTGGGGTTTTTTGTCAGTGTAATCTTCCTTTGATGATGGTGTGTGCGTGTATGGAATCGTCCTCAACTGGGGATTGTCTTCTTCTGGGTAAGGGCAGTAACACTAAGCTTTGGTTTGGGTGCCATATCCACCAAGGGCATATAGTACTCCACAGTCCACCAACTTTAAGGAAAGCATTTCCCAGCATCTGGTTGATACCCCAAAAGAAATTCCCAGATGCCTCTAGGAATCCACACTGCAAAATGTGATGGCTACGCCTTAGCACAGCAAGCTCAAAAGACTATGGAGGGTTCACCTTTACCACAACCCTGCAACTGAATGATCAATGCACAGATCTAGTTGACGGGGCAGAATCACATTAGACCCAGATGTCTAAGCTGTTCAATATTTCTTGATGTCCCTATTGTATGCATTTATTCTGCCCAGCCTTCTAAAAAGGCTCACGCACATACAAATTGCTGTCTATGCAACACAGGTACCTCCAAAAGCAGAGCCACACTGGCACTGTATTTTTTTTTCCCCTTCTATCCAAACAGACAGAGCCCAATGACACCGCTAGAAGAGATTAAAGGGAAGACTAAACCGTCTTGGATGCTGGAAATAATGACAGGAGCTTTCATCAGTGAAAACAAGATTGCCCATGATGACCAAAGCCTCTGATCTTCTGCACAGTGAAAGCCACTTATTACAGAGATTTTTTTTTCTTTTTACTCTTTTTCAAACTATAATCTGTCTTAAACACAAAGAGCAGAAGCCATCGCTTTCAAAACACTTGATTTCTCTGGATCTCCAGGGATAAGTGGGTGGTTGTTGTTTTTTATTGTTGTGGTTGTTCTTTTTCGGAAACATATTTTTGGCCTATATGCCTGACCATCCGCCTGGAGACCGCAGAGTCGCAGAAAATAGCAAGATGCCAAAGCCTTGGACCAAGATTCAGGAGCAGGAAGCTCTTCTGCTCCTCTCTGCTCTGCAAGCCAGCCACTGTCTGCTGGTGAGTCCTGCCAAAAACAAGTCTTAACCAGAAATTACCCTCCTAAGCCAACAACCCATTCAACCTCAGTGCATCCCAGCTGACTCTTCCCATTTTAACTCCTGACACATCAAGGCCAATTGTCTCCCGCTGGGTCATCAGAGCCTGCTCTCCCTTTGGAGATGCCCAAACCCACATCCTTCCCAGCTTATGTTGGCATTGCTGGCTGGGGGTGAGCAAGACTGCAGTCCAAGATGTCCTAAAGGCTATTAGGCTGGAGGGGTAGGGAGACTATTTGTATGCTTGACTTCGGGGCCATTCTGAACGAGGCTGATGGGGAATTCTGGGAGTTGAAGTCCGCTCATCTTAAAGTGGCCAAGTTTGGACAACACTGAGGTGGATACAAGCCTGTGGTTCCTTGTCTTGAGCATTTGCATATATCTTATTGCATATACTGTATATTTTAAATTGCTGACAATATTTTCATCTGAATAATTACTTTTTATTTTTTTTATAATGTTCGTTTTTTTATCTATTTTCTGCTTTATTGAATTGTTGTACACCGCCCAGAGTCGCTTTGTGAGATGGGCAGCTATATAAATGTCACAAACAAGCAAATAAATACTGGCTATATAAATGTGACAAATAAATAAATAAATACTGTCCTTCAAAACTACATTGCCCTGGGGAGCCTCGCAGCAGAATCCACTGTCCATATCAACCCAGATGCAACTTTTCATTCACACTGCAGTTATCATTCTATGCTAATCAAGGACAAAGCCCCAAGACTTCGGTATTTAAGTGTTTAAAGCACCAAGAAAGCCAGACCTGATACAAATGCCAAGGTGGCTGTAGTATTTTTGGCTTTAAGTCTTTGTATTTTTCCACAATAGGTAGCAATCACCATCAAGCTTGTCTTCCATATAATCCAAAAGTGCACAGAATTGCACACAGGCAGAAAGAAATTAGTACAGATTTTGTATATCCATCCCCAAGTCCTTCTCTTCCTTCCCCTTTTCTTCAGCAGCAATGCTTCTAGCAGGCAATAAGTCATCTAATGCCACTAATGCCATTGTAGGTACCATCACCCTACTGCACAGGGCTTAGCCCCAGCAATTAAATTAAACTTCTGGGTCGACAAGCCTACTCCAACAGAGAGCTTTCCAGATTACTTAAACTCTAGAAAATTCCCAGCTGGTGTATCTGTTACTGGAGAATTTTAGGAGTGAGAATCCCAACCTATCTGAAAGGAAGGAGGGAAGACTGGAAGAAATTATGCATATGATTAATCCCAATGAAAGGCTTAACTTTTGTTTAGACATTCCCCATTTTGGACTGTCTGTAAAAAGGCAAACAAATGTGCAGGTTAGTAACTACTGCCAAATTAACCACAAGGTTACTACCAAGAAAGGGAAGGAGAACAACTACTGAAGGATGCACTGCCCTCGGCCTTTCTTAATAGTAAGACTTGGGATTCCCCAATGACAGACGATAGGTTGGGCATTCAGGATGCCCAAGAGCAAACCTACGGAACATTTTATTTTATCCAATTTATAAGGCCACCCATCTATCCAAGGACACTCTGGGGAGCAAACAAAACCAGGCAAAAACTAAACTCTCCATTAAAACCTAACGAGAGCAAAGCAAGTCAAGGTCCAATAACATCTCCGTAGTCATCAGTCACATACACCCATGCCAGAGCTCCTATCACTTATTTATTACAAGGTAAGACCACTGGCTACTACTCATGACACCTAAATGGACCAAAAACGTTCAGAGAGAAAGGGAAAACAGATCTAGTTATCTTCACAATTTAGAATATAAGAATGAGAGTTAAACCGGCATGGAGTTTCTTGCAATCTGTCCAGCGCTCTCTTCATAGCTGAGTGAAGGACAACTCAGAATGAGTTGGCAGAGACAGAACTACCTCAACAGTTAAGAATTCAGCAGCTTCCTCACCCAGAGGGCAAATTCCACACTTTGTGGGTCCATGCTAAAAGTGAAAATTCCACAACAGAGGAAATGATAAAGTTACAGAGATAAAACAAATGCCAACAGCTGTACAGTAGCTTCCTAACCAAAATGGCATTTCCTTACAAGCCTTGTAATAAAAGAGTTGCAGAGTACAGGAAAAATATATATATATATTTTCCTGAACTCTGCTTTTTTATGTGTGTTTTTTAATCTGGCTTGCCAAGAAGATAAGACAGAATAGAAGCGCATGCAGACCTCCTTATAACTAACATCAACTCTATTTCCATGCAATGTGAAAAGGCAAAAGGAAGGGATGATAGCTGGAAATATAGATTAAAACACAATAATAGGCTGCAGTGCAGAGACATTCCAGAAATGATAAAACAAAGGATTTGTAACTAAGTGTTGACTACTGATATCCACATGTAATCTAACCCTTTTGCCTCAGTGGCAAACATCTAACACTGTTCATCATTCCTCGTTGGTTTCATATCAAGGCATGGCTCCTCAAGATGTTGGGGTTGGGGATACAGTTGGAACTTGGGGAACAAGACATGGGGACTCACACAGAATGGCTGCCTGGTGGGTGAATGAGCTCAGTCACAAAACACCCATTTCCCTTTCCTTCCCTATCGTATCCTATTTTAATTTTTATTATTTTTATTTAAATTTACATTTATTAGCCACCAATTAACTCCAATGGACAAATTGTGCAAACATTAAAAGGGAGCACCTGGTAAAGTACAATGAATGCACAAGCAAAGCAATCCTCCTTGACTCATTAAAGCAACCACTTCTCTCGGAAAGCTTACACGGCTGCTTCCCATAAGTGTCTATGTGTGTGAGTACAAGAGACAACACCTCTACTGGAACCATCAGCGTGTCTTTTAAAGGCAGCAGAGGTGGGCAATATAAGAGGCGGGCCCTCTGTGTGGTGGTGAATACGAACGTCAGAGATTTGTCACAACAACCAATGATTAGGGAAACCCAAATCTGGAAGGGCAACAACATTGCAAAAGTCTCTAATCCTGCTTTTAGACGTCAATATGTACTCAAAACTAAGTCTCACTGAGTTCTGTGGCTCTATTCCCAGCCTATCAAGCATGCACAGGAGTAACCTTAAGAAGAAAATACTTTTCAATGCCTGAGTTTGTCCTTGCTGAGTAAAAACAAGATTCGGCTTTTACTACAGCCCGTTACTGTTGTTACTCATATCGCCCCCCCTTTTTGATTTTGTGCCAAGTTTCTCTCCTCCTTACTCATCCATGCATTTGTGTGAATGATTGAGCCTAACATATGCCCAGCTTCCTGTACGATGATCATAAGGCTATAATCAATCAGGCATTTTGAAAAGAGTAACTATAATGAGAACTGAGAAAGTGATGTGGCTTCCTATCGTTCATCACAAGGCAGGCCTGCCAGGTTATAAAGACCTCCTGGACAGTGGTGGCAAGAAATAGCTAACACAAAGTGTACCTTCTTCAGCACTGCCACTCTGAATATGCACTCCGCGCACGTATCTGCACATGCACTCATGCGTGCATATCAACAGAAAGAAACAAGAGGTTGTTGCAAACACACACATACAATTAACAGGAAATCTCAAAGTCCACAAGGGGAATTTATACAGGCTGTAGAAAAGGGTGCACCACGCTTACGTTCTTCAAATTGTGCAAGAAGCATTTCTGCCACCAGAACCCATAAATGAAGCAGCATTCATCCATTCTTGCTTTTTAAACTATATATATGTGACCATGAATGTAACCTTAGATGAATTACAGGGAAACCTTCAAAAATACAGATTGTCCTCGTTCAGTGACTGCCTTGTGCTGTTACCGTTCCCAGTTACGATGGTGATGAAAAAGTAAGTTTGCAACCAATCCTTGCATTTACGACATTCATGAGTGCGTAAAGCAAAGGAAAGCCGAAGTAAAATCATAAGCACAGTCACGGTTTCACTTAGCGACCACTTCACTTAACAACCAAGCTGCTGGTCCCAATTGTGATTGCTAAATAAGGACTACCTATCTTTTGTCACAAGAAACACCAAAAGAGGTAGTAGGTATAGAGGAAGTACCCACATCCAGCTGCTGGCACCACAGGTAAGTCAAATATCTTTTTCTCAAAATGCTGCCAAGCTGCCACTTGGCCAAGCGAGAAGTAGCATCACCATCAAAGATCTATCTGTTTTGGAAATGGCAATATTTTCTACTAATCAAAGGACGCAGCAATACGTGTTATATGGCAGAGATTCTGTGACATCATACAATAATATCTTGTATTGTTCATATCATAGTAGTGAATTCATTGGTAAACCAGTGAATATTGATAAGTTTAACATATAAGATAGATTTTTCTTTTCCTTCTTAGTTTGTATTTTTAGTTTGTACTTTTAATGTTTTTATTTTTTTTAAGATTAGACTGCTTTCTTACAAAAAATAAAGATATTAAATACAATAATGTAAAAAAATTACACTATGACGGCCTTGGAAAAAGCGCTTTACAGCCTATACTCACATTTATGACCTTCACAAACCATCGCACCACCCCCTGTGGTCACATGATCACAATTTGCTGCCTTTTTAATGAAGGTCATTAAGTGAATCAATGCGGTCGTTAAGCGAATTCTGGAAAAAAACATCAATTGGGGAAGCTGGATTTGCTTAATGATGTGATTCATTTAATGACCATGTGATTCACTTAACGACCATCATAAAACAGTCATAAAATCAGATCTGGTCACATGGTGACTTGCTTAATGATCCCTCCGCTTAACAACCAATTTTCTAGTCCCTATTGTGGTTGTTAAGTGAGGACTACCTGTATGCTGGCTCAGGGCACTGAACAGCAGGCGATGCACAGGAAACACAGCGCTACTCAAGACATGATGTTCAGACTTTGGGAACTGCACCAGGGCTCTAACTGTAGAGCGGCAGCCTTTCTCCTTCTTATGACTTTCTCTCTTACCAGGGGTTACAAGATCAGGAGTATTATGTGTACAACACTCAAGGGAAGATCTTTTTGGGAAGAGGAGCAACCTCCCACAAGCTTCATGAAACTTAAAATGCATACATACCTAACGAGATACTCAAGCTGTGTGGAAGAGTGGGAGAAATCTCAAGTTCTGATTATTCATGCTCCGTTGGTTTCCAGAATGAAATATGACCATCAAAAAACTCCATCCCATATTCCAATAATGGTGGGAAAATAATCCAACTTCAGTGTTACAAAACAAAACAAAAATCTCTCATGGACGTCAAGAATCAGGGAAGGAGGGTGGGGGGAGAACAAGAACTGCCAAAAATTTGCTGCTCCCCCTCCTTCTGGTCAAGGCGCTTTGTCTGCAGCTGACATTCTCTGGAATCTCTGTTCAGCTTGCTAAATCCCACGGCCTTGGATATCCTTGAATGAAAGGAACAAGATGCTGAAGATGCCACAGCCGTTGGATTTGCCAGGGATCGAGATGGAGACCTTGAAGAAGAAACAAATAAAGAGACTGTTACATCAAGCAGACACCCAAGAGAAAAAAAGGAAGGGCGGGGCAGAGAAAACTAATTTTTCATGTTCCTTCACAAGCAATGAAGGAGTGGGGGACAATCCGATTTCTTGACTACACAATCACTAAAAATTGCTATGTTATAGTCTTTACCAACCTGGATGTACTGGACTACAACTCTCATGATCCCCAGCCAACAAGTAGCTTCCTGGCTGGAGACAATGCAATCGGGCACATGCTGTTTTGGAAAAAGCAATTATGCAGCAATCATGTAATATGTTTCATTCTATACAATGAATCAGAAGACACTTGTAGCCTGGGAAAGAGATAATGCAAACTCCATTTGCATTTGATGTCTTACATCTCATCATTCACCTCTATGCGCTCCTTCAAGACATAACATTGTTTTGAAAACCAAGAAAGAGTTCCATGGGGGCAATCTAGCTGCCCCATTCTCAGTGCAGGATCTACAATGCAGAATGCTACAACAGAAGTCATTCAGTGGATAAGTTCAAGTGGAAGCTAGACTATCTATCTGGGAAGCTTCAACCTGGATTCCAGCACTGAGAGACAGGTTGGACCTGGTGACCTCAAGGGCCACTCCTACCTTTAGGCTTCTATAACTAGTGTCTCGTAGGCATCCTCAGTTGAAGTGTAGGAGAGCACACCACTTCACAAGGCAGCCTATTTCACTTCCATAGAGCTCTAACCTTCAGAAAGGTTCTGCTAACATTTAGCAAAAACCTGTTAACTTCTCTTTACCTCAATTTGGTATGGAAGAGAATCCAGATGACCAAATTTCCTGGGGCAAATTGCCCTCTAAAACAAACTGAAGATGTCCACCTGCAGGACCACATCTCCCCACTAGAGTCTCCCAAACACTGAGTTCATGCCAGGAGAAGCAGCTGGTTCTCCATCATTTTCAAGAGGTTAGTTAAGTGGGCTGAAGCCTGGAAGTGCTGATTTTCAGTGATGGGGCCAGCCCTCTGGAATGACCTCCAGTTGCTAGATTTGTCCGTCTCCATCTGCCTCCTGGAAAAAGCTGAAGGTGGAGCTTTTCCAGAGGGCTTTTGGGGCCTGATGTTCTATATTTTGTTTAGGTTTTATCTATCTTATGCTTTTTATACTTGGGAAAACCATCCCATTGAACTTTCCTAGCCTGTGGAGGATGCCATTCCCCAAGTATCTTTCCTGTCTCAAAAGTCATCTTGCAAGAAATTCTCTACTCCTCAAGCTGGAAAAGTATGTCCAGAAAGAAAACCTTGGTAGTGGTTCTTCTACCTTCCCTGATCTGCTGCTCTCCCCTTCAAGGACCATGACCACTACGCTTTCTGGACATTGCAGCTCCAATACATCTTGGATAAGCCTGGTCTTATCCAAGTTCAGATGAACGGTAACACACACATTTGAAATAGCCAGCTCTACAAAGCAAGGTTCCGCTTAACAGCTGAGAAAGATCCATGCAATGGTCCACTTCTTGAGCAGTAACATTTACAGCATCTTGGGCCTCACTCATGAGGATAGAAATATGGGGATCTCAGCTGTGGGCTAAATGGGGAGAGAGTGGGAGGAGATGCCTGACTGTATTTTACTGCCCATTAACCTGAAGGCATTGCTTCCAGCCACAGGTGAGGCAAGGAGTGGGCCTTTTGTGACCTTGCAAAGCATTAGAGATAAGATAATCCAACCCTGTTTTATCTGCCAACGCACATACTCCAAACATGTAAAGTGGACAGAGAACACAGCAACTAAGTTCTCTATGGAATCCCTTCAAGGCTGCATTTTTGAATAGGGTGTGATTAAAATTCCCTTCTTCTCCATATAAAAATCACCTTTGTGCCTTTTTTTCTTACATGGAAGGAAGAGTTTTAGCTCAGGAAAGTTTTCCATTCTTCAGAACTTGCAGAAAATAAGGTTTTGGCGCAACTAGCTTCCTGGTCTAATTGCTTCACATTGAACATCCGGTCCGGCGCGTCTCTAATTTTCATCCACTTCCTCTATTCCAAATAGTCAACCTTTGGAAAACACCAAGCTACCTTTTTTCCCCCTTTTCTAATGTATTTTATCCAAACGCCCACACAGACACATGCACGCTTTTGAAAAATTGGAAAATGGTTGCAAGGTTTATACATGAATAGGTAAAGAATTTTCAAAAATCTGCTCTTGGTGCAGAAGTCTACTGAACCCTGCCTGCATATCAAGTTTCCCTAAATGGCTCACTAACTCTGCAAGAGGCATTTGCTGACTTGGGCTTGAATTAAAATAAACAAAATGGTTGGCTTGCTTTGAAGAGGGCAAATATACAGAAACGTGTTCCACTTTGTTCTCTCTATTCTTCCTTGGAACATAAGACAGTTGCCCATGTAAGGGGTTCAAGCAAGTACTAAGGGTACCTGAGATATCTGGAAATGAGGTAGGTTTTAGTAGAAGTCAAACAGTCCAAGGAAATATCAGGACTTCTCCCATTCTGTTGTAATTTGAAATATTTCTCAGTTCCTTTTTAGGGCTAGCCAGGAAGAATAAGTCTTCTACTCTCTAGGATACATATACCCAATGCCTCAGACTGTGCCTCCTACATTCTTCCTTTCAGGCCCTTTATCATCTTGGCTGCTCTTCTGTGGACATGCTTCAGTTTGTCTCTCTCCTTCCTAAATTAGGTGGCTCAGAATTGGATACAGTATTATAAGCATGGTCTGACCAATACAGAATAGAGAGATGACTTCTCTTGATCTTAATACTGGGCTTCTGTTGAGGCACCTTAAGAGTTGCATTTATTTCCTTTCATTTTCTTTCTTTTTTTCCCCCCAACAAATATGATGGCTCTAAATTTCAAGACACACATCCAGCTGCCTTTCACCACACTGGTAAATCATAGTGCATCAGCTGGGAAACAATTACAACCCAGACTGACACAAAACCAATGTTAACCTCAGCCAACAGAACAGAAGTCAGACTGGCAATTTAACACAGCCTTAGGCTGCAAGCTTAAGCAAGGAGTTGGAATGAGATCTACAAGTTCCTTCCTTCCAGAATGGAAGCCAGTATAGATGGCATTTTACCTTTTCTCGGATACTTGGAATACTTCCTTCCAAACCACAGGTATCTACAGCAAACTGAGACTGCATCAAATTATCATGCGCATGATGACATCATGATGCAAACACCACCAGTTGGCGCACTCCAGATCCCTTCGATCAAACCATGTCATCTTTCAGGACCCAGGAAGCACAGCTTCTCTGTCATGGCACCAGCTCTCTGCAATGAAACACCCTCCACCCCACCCAGAGATCCACAAGGCTCCCACCCTGATGGCCTTCTGGAAGGCCTTGAAAACCTGGCTGTTCTCCCAGGCTTTGGGGTAGGGTGGATAAGGCCCCCTTGTTAGATTTGGATTTCTTAAAGATTTTCTTTATAGCATGTGTTGTATTTCGTACAATGCTGTTTGTTTTAAATGTCGAGCCTCTCGGAGTCAGCTGGAATGGGGCGGTGCCTAAATTTAAGGAAAATAATGAATAAATAACAAATCACTTGCAGGATGTCATAATGCATGTGTCAGTACTTGTGCGCTATTGCAGAGGCCTATGTTCCAAAACCTAGTTCCCTGCACATCGGGGGAAGGGGGGGCAAGAGGGAACTGAGAGAGAGAGAGAGAGAGAAACCATTTATTGATTTGCTGTATTTTTATACTGCCACTTTCCACAAGGCCTAATTTTCTCATTTTCTCCTACAAGATCCTCAACCAGCATTTGGCTTTTCAGCAGAAATGCAAATTATCCTGCCGAAGAAGTCTGAACTGCAGGGCTTGTAGGAGCAGCCTCATAAAAGAAGACAGAGACAGCCAACTTTTGCTTGATTATTCTCGTTTTCTGAGTTCTTCCATGTTAGGCTGTCACAAACAGGAACAAAACTCAAAGCATTAGTTATCCCTTGTTATCTTGATCTGGAGCTCTGCTACCTTACATCCTAGTTCATGATACTATTAAATTTATCCCTGCTGGGAATTATTGCCTTGTAAGATCTCCACTACTCTTATTTCTCTTGTTATTTTGTAGCTTGATTTTTTTTTAAGAAGCTCTAACTTGGGACTATTTGCTGCAGGATGTTATTAAAAAGAAATAAATCCTAAATGAACAACTGGCATCATTTTGGCTTGGCTAGGGAATTCTGGGAGTTGAAGTCCACGCATCTTAAAGCTGCCAAGTTTGAGAAACACTGGACTAGATTGTCACAAGACTGTGTTCAATGTTTTTATTCCTGATCTGGATGAAGAGTTGAGAAGATGATGATCAGACACGCAGATGAACCCCAGCTTGGAGAAGGTGATGGTTTAGAAGAGAAATGAAGGATCAAAAAAGATCTAGGCAACCTTGAACAGTGGGCTGAAACTAACAGGATGAAAATTAACAATAGTGTACAGTTTTGCATCTGGATAAGAAAAAATGTGAGGCATGATGGGGGAGACTTGGCTTGGCAGTAGTACATGTGAAAGGGATCTGGTATCAATGTTTACTACAAATGGAACATGAGCCAACAATGTGATGCAGCTGCCAAAAAGGCTAAGGCTATCTTGGAAAGTATTAACAGAGCACAGGGTCCAGATCATAGGAAGTAACTGTTCCACTTTACTCTGCTCTCATGAAACCCTACTTAAAAACATGTCCATTTCTGGGTACTGCAGTTTAAAAGGGCATCAAGAAACTGGAATGAAAACTACAAAGATGATGAGGAATGGTTAAAGCAGTGTTGTCCAAACTTGGCCACTTTAAGATGAGTGGACTTCAACTCCCAGAATTTCCCCCCCCGCACTGGCGGTGTCGGGTGTTTGGGGGGGTGAGTTCCACTTTTTTTTAAAGGGCCAGCGTTTTGCAAACCCACTTTTT